AAGGAAATTTATTGGAAAATATTTTCAAATAATTATTAACCAATAATCGCGATAATAATATTTAATCAATATTTGAAATGCCATTTTGATTTTCAATAATTGACACTAATTACAAAATGTATTGTTAAAGTAACATAAATTTGTTGGCTATTAATTATTTATAAATTAAATAATGGGTTTTAATCAATAATTAAAATTTGCTAAAGCCCTGCCTAATTATCTCCTGATTTCGGTTTTGGATATCAGTGAAACAAAATCCATAAAACAATGTGTAATACGGAACTATTTCTGTTCGGCATACTTAACAGAAGTAATTTTGTGAGTTAAAATGTATAAAAGACAGTGGCTGAAAAATTTATTAAAATTAAAAATTCTCGAATACACATCGTGCATTTACATACACACAAGCAAGAATGTGTCTGACAGTTTTACTTAAGTTTCCGAATAATTCTTTCGCTGCTGAATATTTGATAGCATAATAAAAGAGTATTCGATATAATTAATGTTTTTGCATTACCGTTGCAATTTATTCTAAAACGGATTTTTTTTCGTAATTAATGTGTGTACTGTTTATGTATAAAATAAAATAGTAATAAAATAGAAATCTCAATACATGATAAAAAATTCTAAAAAAATTATGTGAGATGTAATTTATTTAAATACAATTTTTATGTACCATGTTAGTTTTTTAAATAATTATTTTCGAGAACTCGCATAGCAATCTATTCACGAAATAGTCTTTAATAGTTTTCTGTATTTCGGAGCGTCTTAGAGGTAAATGCTTCTTAGAAGTAAATGCAGAATATTTCTTTGAGATTTTTAACTGGGCAAGATTCCACTTCCGGAGACGACAATGCAAATATCGTCCGATGCTCCTTAGACTCCGTTAAGGGTGGCCGCCGGGATGGTAGGCGGTGAGAGGCAACCTGGAACTTGAATATCGCATTACTGTCTCAGGCAGCGACGAAGGCTTTTCGCAGTGGGTGATCCTGAAACGAGACCCTCCGAAAGCCCGTAGATTTATGCCCCGCACGGTTTCTCGTTACTTCCTCAACCAAATATCCTCTCCCCGGCTTTTCTCTTATCCTCTTTTCCTCACCGGTCCTCAACTCGTTACCCTCCCGTCTCTTTCCGACTCGACTTTCTCCCGCGAAAGTGAATATTTATGAAAGATGTAAATAACGAACGCAAGATAATTTTCTCTTTCGGAGCCACTTTTGTTTACAACACCTCTCCCTTTCTCTTTCTATTCCTCATCCTGGAGCTTCTAACCACATCGTTTCCGTTTGTTTCATTCTATGCGCATTATTTACATTTTCTGCGACATTGCGCCAGATGCGTCCGTTTTATATCAAAGCACCGAAGTAGTCTTTGACTTATAAGCCTTCTTCAAACCGTAATATTTGAATCACACTTTTTAATAAAATGTCTGAAGTGTCAATTATAGTTTTTTTTTTTTAAATTGTACTTAACATTTGATCTGTTACGTTAACCGTTTTTTTTTTTTTTTTTTTGCGTCCGACGCTTCTGAGATTATTTCCCATCTATTTGAAATAATACTCAAGGAAAAGATTCTGTTACTAGGATTAAACTTGGGGAATATTAAAATACATCGTATATATACCAAGTATTTGTAGAGACTGTGTGTGAAAGAGGATATTATAAATATTATTAACAGTGTTATCAAAATTGCAAGTGAATAAAGTAGATTTCAAACGTCGGTATCCTCCACGGAAACGAGAAAATTAAAAACGGATACATTGCGAGGAAACTGCTCGCAGAAGTCGCCATTGTTCATTGAAAGGATTAAAATCCACGCGCGCCTGGGATGTGGCGCACCGTTCGCTTACTTACCGGGGAAAGAGGAAAGGTCCCTTTTTCTTTTTTCATGCCGTTTCTCGGCCGTCTTTGTGCCCCCGGCTCCCTGCCCTCTTCGCTGTTCTCTGTGTTCTCCGGAGAGGCCGCGACCAGCAATCAACGTAATGCACCCGCAGACACACCCCTGTCCTCATCCCTTTTCAGCGCACACAGACATAGATATGTCTGTATACGTGAGACGAACACAAACACCGTCGCATACCAAGGCAAACGGCTAAGGATACATATCCCTAAACCAAAGGCCAAACCAGATAGTACGAGGGAGTCCCGTAGTAATGCAGACGCAATGGCAATCTCTTCGAGAGCAACGAAATAGATCGTAGAACATAGACCGATAGTGAAAAACCATTGCGGTAACCAAGCACTCTTACTTTTTTCTTTCCAAAACTTTCCTCGGAAATGTAAGTTCTTACTCGTCGCTGACGATATGTATTCTTGTGATAAGCGTCGAAAAGTTCGCAATTCAAACGCAGCTCGAAATTCGTTGCGCGCAGATGCTCTTCGCTCTTTGTGTGTTTGTGAAAATTTGTGAATTTATTGAATAGAGATCGGGGAAGGAGGGGGAGAGATTCAACCGGAAAAAACGTCTCATTGCGCATTCGGAGAGTGCCTCCTGGCTTGTTCCGCCATAAGAGCGATGTTACCCTTCGCGTATGTGTGTTTGGACTGATTTGCGGCAGGGCTTGGTTAGTTCCCCGGAATATCGGAAAAGTTAGTATGCGTGTGCCTCTTCATGGACATGGACGACGAAGCGTGCGCTCGGGAATTCTGGATAACTTAGGTATAAATCTTGCGTTACCCCGACGCAAGGTATCCCGGAGAAAACGAGAGATACATGAGCTCTTCTACTCTCTAACAAGAAAAATTGTGAGGTCAATCTATTCTTTATATTTTAAATGGAATGAAAGCTCGATAATCTCAAGACGAATAATATTTTATTGTAATTGACTTCGAAGAAGTTTATGCATTCTAAGAACATCTCAGTTTCACTGCGAAACAAACGTTTGCTGTTAACTGCAAACATTCGTGACATTTAAGGACATTTTGTAATACGACAGAATGAAAAGGCAGTTACTCGAGAATGATACGATATGAGATATTAACCCGACAATGACCCAAGACGTTAATTCATACTGATAATATACTAGACATCGTTTCACCCTAACACAGCGGGCATGAGCTCGCGCCAGTAAACTCATTATTCTTCTTGTCCTGGGGGCGCATATCCCGCTCTTCGTCTACGCGCGAATAATCTTCGTCAGGATTTCGCCATTGTATTATTGTGTCTGCCACCGGGTGATAAACTGCACATTCCACAGGGAATACCGCTCCGCTCATTACTAATATAGTCACACGACGGCGTTCTATCGTAGTTAACGGAGCTCTCATTGCGTCCCTGGAGAAAACCGAAGTTAAGCATTCGTCCGTTTCAAAGCGCGACCATCTCTCGCGAGAATTCTTCATAAAAAGAATCTTGAATTCTTGAATTGAGGATATCACAAGTGGCGTAACATTTTTATGCGAGAAGAAGCGATACGGAAAGAATGAATTGTGAATATTTTCGACGAAACCGACATAATTGCATGCTTTCTTATGGAATATTCTAACTATAATACTCATTTCTTCCGAAAAAAAAAATCTAAAAATGAAAGCATTGATAGCGTTTAAAATTTTAAAAAGGATTAATTTAATTGGTTTAAATAATTTCTTTACTGTAATTTTATTAGATATATATGATCATATATATATAAAAATGGATAATTATTTTGGTTCGAAAATATAAAAAATAATGCAGGCAAAGACAGTCTCTTGAAAATATCATTATAATTTTTCATGGATCGGGCTAATTTAATCAGAACAAAGAAGCAGTTTGCAGCGAACTTAATATCTTCACCAGCAATATACAGGCGAGCGCGACGGTGCTAATTCAAGACAGTGGACCGCCGGCGGATTACGGAAACTCGTTAACCAAGTAATACCTTTAAACGACGTATTAAACGAAGCTTTTTCGCTACGCGTTCTAAAGCTACCACACAAACTTACAGATAGAACAATTCGACCTCGACCGATACGCTGACGATGTACACGCTATATAATAGCCGTCGCGATAACGTATCGCGCGAAGCCGGATGAAAGAAAAGAAAACCGAGAGAAGAGAGAAATCAATTTATCACGTTAAGCAAAAAAGTACAAACAAGTATCACGCAGTTTTAAAACAATTAATTATATATAAGTAATAAAAAATTACAATAGCGATATGCGTATAGCAAGTTAAATATAAAATCAATTTACACAGATATAAAATATCTCCAAATGAACAATAACTTTAGATTGCTACAGAAATTTTTAATTAAACTTTCGAGGAGAGGAACAAGAGAAAGCTTTCTCGATTTCGCGGGAGAGGAAAGACTGTTTTAAAGCGCGAGGGGGAAATAAGAGGAATTAAAGAGCGACCGCATGCAGGATCGATCGCTGAATTACAACCGGCGTTATGACTGCGAAACTTGCTAAGCCTGCACTTTTCTGGCGGCAGCGAAATTAATCCGCGAGAAAGAAGAGTCGAACGACATCGACGATGGGAGCCGGGGAAACCGATGATTCATTTCGGAGGTAGCGGACGGTACAACCGATGGTAGAGCTGAGCTGGGGATGGCAGGATGTACCGAAAGAGGATTTTAGTAACGAGAAGCGATCGTGATAGTTCAGATTCGTCGATTTAAAAATGTGCTGACGTGCGTGGACTATCGTTTTGGAAATTTGTCGGCGAAAATTAATTCTTCGTCTTCTATTAATCTCGCGAGACTCTTATTAATCTCGCAAATGTTTTTAATATATAATCACATTGTGTTTTTTTTCTGATATTCCTTAAGCAACACATTTTAATATCGAATTGTTGTATGTAAAATATTATATTTCGATCTTTAAGTGGAATCATATTTATGTAAAAATTGATTCTTGTATCTTCTGTATGAAAGTATTAAAATCGGATTATAAAGAAATGTGGATATATAATTTTCTTTTCGAGATAAAAGAAAGTCTAACACACATATATGTATAATGAAATATATATAAAAATTATATTATAATTAGTTTTCTCTAATAATTCTATTCTTTTTGTTTAGCCAATAGGTATGCACCTGAAGAAATACGAATGGGTGGGTTCACCAGATATCGGTGACTGCTCGTTGTGGGTGAGATCGGCCACCTTAGAGTTTGACGACGGACTCTGGCAATGTCAAGTAACCGCAAGTGATTTCACGACGCAAGACGCGTTAGCATCCGAACCAGCGAGGCTGGTCGTCAGAGGTAAATAAATCATTTTTGAGTTACATAAAAAGAGTTGTTTTCTGATCAGCAAACAAATAAACGTAAGAAGAAGTTTCGACAATGTTCTAAACATCGTACTTCATTATGATTCTCAATTCGTTTTAAATAATATTAGTAAGGACAGAGATGATACACTAAACACTAAACGTTTCGCGAGCAATATTGATTATATTATAACGTTGCATAATATTCTCTTTTGCGTATTATGCAACAGAGTAACAACTAAGTAATTTGATACAAAGTTGAAAAATCAAATCCCATTCAGCTGAATCGAGCCAGCTTATTTTTCCACGTTAATAATCGATACCAATATAATTGATTTCGATAGCTCACACTATGCTTAATGAAACGACCGACACCATTGCTGGACTCGTGTCGCGCGAAATAATTTACATAACACAATGAATACTCGCGCAGATTCGTTCGCGAACTTTATCATTATCGCTATTTTCGGAATTACAGTGTCATACCTCGTGTTTCGTATTTTTTTATCGTCGAGCGATATTTATGGCAGATTAATGTCTCTCGTCCGAGGATAGTACATTACACCGAATATAGTCCGATTAGTCGTGTAAAACCATCCCGACGACTCTCTCGATGTTACATTCACTCGGTAATCTCACGACACAATTAGCAATGAAGCAACAGGATTTATTTCTGCGCCGTGAAAATGGAGTTTGCTACGGCGCAGCGGGACGAGAATCCCTGTGCCTTTTTTTTTTTTTTTTAATCCTTACGTCTCGCAATAATCAGTTGTAATACCTGCACATTGAAAGGCCGACAATTTGAGCATATCGATATTTTATTTCGTATATAAAAAGATTAAAATTCGATCGCGCGTAAATTTATTTTTTCGTACACGACATAAATGAGTTTTGGCGAGAGAGAAAATAATTAAGTTGAATAAAGTTAAAGGAGCATTCGATGTGGTTTCTCGAAACACCGTGTATACGTTGGCGCGAGCGACGGCATACGGCGGGATTAATCCGTGCTAATTTTCTCATTCCAGTCAGCCCTCAGCGACCGCAGATAGAGTACACCGACCGTCTAATTCTCCCCGGCAGCAACGTGACAGCCCGAGCAGGTGAGATCGCTACGCTCACATGCAGAGCGCGGTATGGGAATCCTTCGCCTCTAATTAAATGGTTCGTAATTGTTGCACGTAGATTCCGTACTATTTAACTTGTGCGCGCCGCCGACCCTCTTGTTCGGCGCGCGCGCGCGCGATCTCTCGCTTCGCGTGTCTCGCTCGCTCGCCGTCTTCGCTCTCGTTTCCCGTCTTCGTCGTCACGTTCCTTCCGCTCGTTTGCTCGCTCGTCGCGAGCGTAATTATTCGGCAATTTCAGGCTTATGAGTCTACGAATTAATTAACATATATCTGTAATAAAGAGAAAGAGACGAGAATCCGTACGATACGAAATAATCGGTTAAATGGCTTGTGATTTTTATATTTGTTCTTTAAGAAATATCTAAGATTTATTAACGGATGTACTTTATATATATATATCTATAATGTGTTATTTTGCATCAAACCATTTATTTAATTTCATAATTTTCGGACTCCATAATCACGCGAATGATTCATGTCTTAAATGATCAAGATATATGTTACTATCGATTTCAAGGCATCTTTTGCCATCGGCGCGCCTCTCCTTCGACCGTCGTTGAAGAGCTTTGGGCTTGTTCCCGTTGCTCGAAGATTCCACGTAATGCATCGAGGACGCTGTCGATAGCAGAACATGCGCTCCATGAATAATCATGATCCATTCTGCATCGTGCCTGGACGAAATTAAGGAGCTACATGGTGCATTTCGTGTGATACGACGAGAAAATGTGAAACGACGAGAAAACGCGAATCTCATGCAAAAAGAAAGCGAATCGCAAAATTTTCTTAGATTCCAGTATCGTATGACTCTCCGCTTGTTATTTTCGAGCATGTAGAAAAGGGAAAGGATTTACTAGTTTTACGCTGAAACAAAAACGAAAACTGCGACAGGAAAAGAGAGAAAATACATGTGTATTTCTCTTTCTCTGTCGGCTTTAAACCTGCAATTTTCGGTTAGCAGGACGACGTCCATAGGGCGTCGAGCCACGTTCCAAATTGTAGACGGGATCCCTTGACAAGGCGACCGTTCTCCGACTGCCTCAGTCCTCAGGGCTCTCTCGCTTATCCACTTACTCACTGGGAATTATCCTAATTGACATACGCAGTACGATGCGGAATATGAGTATGCATAAACGTGTTAATTATGACCGGAGCATAGAGGCCGTGAGAGACCGTAGCACAATCGACGGCGAGTATCGAGTTTTCATTCCAAGAATACAATCGTTGACGAACGAGATAGCTGTCGTAGTAATTATTATGTCATTATCGTTAACGTTGTTGTTACGTTCTCTTGCAAGCACCGCGGGTCTCGTCGTTATTTAATTCTTTGTTATATTACGCTCGAAATATCTCGCTTTGAAACACTTTTCCACGCGTATCTGATAGCTTGTTATTGTTAGAAAAACATTTTCTAGCAAACAATTTTCTTGGCTAATTGTCTGCATGTTTTTTTCCTGTATTTAACCCTCAGACAGCAAATGATATGACAGTCATATAGGATGAATCTTGACTCATAGTAAATGTTTTTTGTACATCATGTATATACACTAAACTTTTATATATATTATATTTTATATTATATTTTTATTTAATTAGT